CAAAAGTAGTGTTTGGGAAGTATATATGGGCGGGTGGATGACCGGATGGGATGGGATGGGCTAGGGTTGTCGGTATGATACCAGTATTTTTTTTGTATTCATGTATTCTTATGTACGATAGTCATGGACACTACATAGCTACGCTATGCTAGAAAGGAATGGAAGGAAGAGAACAAGAAAAAGAAAAAAAAAATAAGATTTACCTCTATAAGTCAAGGCTTTTTTGAATAAACCATCATGGTACCAGTATAATACAAGGAAAAGATAAAGAGAAGGAAAAAAAAAACACCTCCCAGCACACATTATCTAAAATATACCAACACCTTTACTTCCCAGCACCCTCCTTCTTAACAATCGGCTTTCCAGCACTCAGCCACTCTACATACTCCTTCTTCGCCGTAACACACTTCAGCAACTCATCCTCCGACTTCCCCTCCTCTCCCGCCCCCCCCTCCCCTGTCAAACACACGCCTTCGTAAACCAGCCAGGCATCCTCACAATCCTGATCCACCCAGTGCAATTTTGTCCAATTCTCCTCCTCCGCCATGCGCATCGCTTTCATACTGCTGCTCAGCTGCGACGAGGGGTCCTCGGTGTTCTTGACCGAGAGCTGGATTGCACGAGCTTCTTGCTTGACTGGTTGGAGGGCTTTATTCGCGGCGCGCTCTCGATCGATTTGCGTGTCGATGTGGTGGAATTGGGGGCGGAGTTGGAGGGTGGATGTTATGGGTGTTAGGTAGAGTTTTTCTGTAACAATGAGTAAAATCATCCTCTCACTCAAAGAGTCCAGAAGTGAGAGGGGATATATATATACCATCCTTAAACACCCCAGCCATATACTTCGTCCCATCCGGCTGAATCTTACTCCCGAGCGTCTGACGATTAAGTATCCTCCCAGCTTTAACCGCGGCCGCAAGATCCATATACATCAAATCCTCCTCTTCCTCTTTATCCTCTTCATCCTCCGCCTGTGAAACCTTCCTCTTCTTCCCCCCAGCACCAGCACCAGCACCAGCACCGCCAGCACTCCCACCTCTCCCTCCAGCACCACCACCATTCCCACTCTGCGCCTTCCCAGCCTCCTTCTCCGCCTTCCGCATCATATCCCCCCACACGCGCCCTTTCTCCTCATCGTAGTTCGCCCCCACGTTAACGGGGATGTCAATCTCTACGAGTCCAGACTTTGGCTTAAACCGCCCTTCGATAGGACATGCGTTGCGCGCCTTCGTGTACGGCTGCTCACGAGGCCGGACGGGGTACTGGAAGATGTAGAGGTCGCGGAGTTGCGAGGTAGTGATTTGTATGTCGTAGGATTGGACGACGGGGTCTTCGTCCGTGGGATCTTCGCCGCCGGAGGAGTCATCGTCTTCGTTGCGGGGTGGTGGTTGTTGGGCTACGGCTGGTTTTGGAGTGGGTGCTGGTGGCGGAGCTGCAGGTTGTGGAGGAGGGGGGATGATTTCAACAGAATTACTGTTGCTATTGTTACTCTGGTTATCATTATCTTCGTCATCGGAGGAGGAGTCACTGTAGCCCGGTAGGAAGAGTGGATTTTCGGATGAGTTGGGCGCTGGAGGGGCGGCTTCTCCGGCTGTAACTGTCGATTGAGCGGCTTCTTCAGACTCGGTGGCAGCAGCAGCTGGACGGGGTCTCGCGGCAGATTTATTTGGTTTGCGTTTTGGTGGCATTGCGGTTGGTGGTGGTGGTTGGGAGAAGGCTCGAGCCAAGTTGTGGTAAATTTAAAGTGATGACTGTTGCCCGCCGGAAAAACTTTATTGCGTGGGGTCTAGTCTTAAGGGTGCTACACGGATTACCACCAAAGTTAATACACCAGGAGGGCTAGCGTTCATTCCAATCACTTGAGAAATACGGTATAATGCTTCTCACGAATAAGGTAATGAGGGCTTGGAATAAACTATCGATACGGTATCTAGTATCTAACTTATGATACATACTAACAACCCCAACAACTGCACTGTATATAACAAAAAAAACCCCGAGAATACAGATATCTACTTTTTGGTTAAAGAAACAGAAAACAAAAGAAATCACTTGCTTTTACCCTTCCCTCCAGGCATTTTCTGCGCAAACTTCTTGCCACCTTTTCCTTTGACCTTCGCAGCACCTCCGCCCTTGCCTCTACCATTCCCCTTAGAACTCCTATCCGCCTTAGTCTTCTTATACACCCTCCCTTCCTCAACCTCCTCCCTCCCTTCCAACTTCTTCCTCTTCTTATTACTCAACTTGACCTTCTTCTCCGGCAACTCCAACCCATTCAACTGCGCCTTACTAACCTTCTCGCGCTGCTCCTTCTCCCTCTGCGTCTCGAACCAAGTCCTCTTCGGCCGACTCTTGATCTCATCCTCATGCTTAATCAAGTTCTCACCCTTGCGCAATTGCAATTCCGCAGACTGTAACTGTTTCTCCTCCTTCTCCTCCTTAAGGACTTCCTCTATTTCGTCATCCAGCTTCTTGATCTTCTCGCCGAGCGCGTCGACTTTGTCCGTGTCGAGGATGCGGGAGACGACCTTGGCGGATTGGGACTGAGCGGCTTTAACGGCGGCCTTCACGACCTTGCGGTCTGCTTCTGCCGCTAGTGTTACTGCGCGACCTTGGCGGCCGGCACGAGCGGTACGACCGACTCTGTGGAGGTAGATTTCGTGGGATTGCGGGGCCTCGTAGTTTATTACCACGTCCACGCCTTTGATATCCAGACCACGGGAGGCAAGATCAGTGGCCAAGAGAAAATCAGCTTTTCCATCACGGAAAGTTTCAACCGCTTTGACACGCTGGCATTCATTCATCCATATTAGCCCATATTCTATATTTGTAGAAAAAGTATAAAAAAAGAAAATCTCACCTGCTCCTGACTCAAACTCCCATGCAATTCCGCCGCCTTGAGTCCAAAAAGACCAAACACAACCCTAACTCTGTGCGCAAAAATCTTACTCCGGAAGAAAACAATAGTCCTCGTAGTGAAGTACTCCTTACACATAAACACCAACATCGCAAGACGAAGGTGCTCCCTCTGCGGCCTAATCCTGACAAACTCCTGCACAAGCGTCTTGACAGTACTAAGCTTCGTATCAACCATAATCCTGACGGGCCGCTGCAGGGAGAGGCGAATAAGCTTATCAACGCTATCCGTCATAGTAGCAGAGAACAACATCGTCTGCCGACTCTTAGGGATAGTATTGATAATCTCATTAAGCTCATCAGCGAATCCATCCTCAAGCATACGATCCGCCTCATCCATAACCACAATCTCCACACTCTCGACCGAAAAGCCCTGAGAATTGCGCATATGGTCGATGAACCGACCGGGCGTAGCAATAATCACGTCGGGGCGCTTCTTGAGCTCCGCCTCCTGCACTTTGAGCGAGAGACCGCCGACCGCCAGGGCGAATTTGATATCAGTGTATGCGGCCAGCTTCACCGCGACGCTGTGCGCTTGCATCGCCAACTCGCGCGTCGGGCAGAGGATGACGACGCGGGAGATGGGCACTTTTTTCGGGCGGAAGAGGAGACGCTCGAGAATGGGGACTATGAAGGCTGCCGTTTTACCGGATCCGGTGACGGCGCCGCCGACGACGTCCTTGCCCAGGAGCGCGACTGGGATCGTCTTTTGCTGGATTAATGTTGGGGTGTTGAACCCGACGTTTGCGAGACCGCGAAGGATGGGGCGGGAGAGGTTCATTTGCTGGAAGCTGACGGTAGCGTTGCTCTTTACGCCGGCGTCTTCCTCCTCCGGTGCGAAGAAGGCAGCTTTCTTAGCGGCTTCCTCAGCGTCTTCTTCTTCGGACTCATCATCAGAAACCTCATCTTCAGGATGGTGAACTATCGAAGCCACCGACTCATCATCCGAATCCTTCCCTTCCTCTTTCTCTCCATCCCCATCCTCTTCCTCTTCATCCCCACCCTTCTCATCCCCAGACTCACCCTCCTCCTCCTCCTCCTCCTCCTCCCCAACAGCGCCCATCCCAAACCCATCAAGCGCAAGATCTTCATCATCATCCCCAAACCCAACAAACTCCACCTCTTCTTCCTCCTCATCCCCACTCTCCTCCCCCTCCTCAACGCCCTCCCCCCTCCTTCTCCGAATAATATCCTCAACATCAACCTCCCTCTTAGAACTCTTCATCGCTTCCCGGGCACCCTCAAACCCCCACCCATCATACTCCCCAACACCGCCCGCTCCCTCCCCACCCATGAATTCAAAATCCGAATCAAGCCCTCCATCATCTTTCTTCCCTTTCTCCTTCTCATCCCGGGCAACAATCCTCTTACGTTTCTTTCCGCGCTTAAAAACATCTTCCTCTCCCGCCTCCGGCGGCGTAGCAGGTTTGCCCTCGCCAATGTCAGAGCTGTCGGAGTCCAAGTCTGGGATGTCCTCGTCTGAGTCGGAGATTGTCATTACGAAGTCGTCCATTGCCGGGGCTTTCTTGGGTGCGGAGGATTTTTTGGCGCTTGCGGGTGGGGGGGTGGAGATTTCTGTGCGGTTGGGGGGTTTTGAACGTGCCATTGTTGGAATTGAGGTATGGATTATTTGCAGCAGTGGTGGTAGTGGGGTGGTGAAAGTTCAAACTTTTTCTTTTTCTTTTTTTTTTTTGCTTATCGGTTAATGTGCAATGTGAGGCTCAACTGAGCAGGGTAACCCAATCACACCCCATCACTCCCAAACTCAGAACATCTCACTCGCTCTCAGGTTATTAATCTTCACTAAAGTCTAGTGAAGAAAATTTCATCCACCCCCATCAGCAAACATTCACGGAGCTGTGATACCAAAATAAGATTTTAAAAAAAACCCCCCTTTCCCATTAAAGGTTAGGAACAAAACCAACGAGCCAGATTTATAAAAAAAAAATAAACTCACAATGTAAAAATAAGTTATGAAAGAAAAAGATAAAAAAATCAAAAAAATCTAGCAACAGCACGTTTCGATCGTGCGTCCTCCGGGTTATGAGCCCGGCGCGCTTCCACTGCGCCATGTTGCTGGAAAGGCGTGATTCAGCCGGGAGTCGAACCCGGGTCGGGCGCACACTCGCTGGAATGGCAAGCGCCCATGATACCCCTACACCACTGAATCGATTGAAGGTTCGTTGATAGTTTAGTTATTTGGACTGCTGGGAGGTTGGGGGATGGAAAAGGGTTGGTTAGCGTGTGGGCTAGGCTTTAGTGCGAGTACCGTAGGGGGGGTTGCAGGGGGGCTAGCCTATACTGGTAAACGGGGGAGTGTCAATGATTGTAAGTTAAGGGTCGAAGTTTTTCATATGCTCGGGGGGAATATGATATGAAACTGGTTTCGAAAAGACCACGGGCACTTTTCCAAATCGACTAATGTACACCCTTATTACAAAGCCAATCAAGTTGGCAAAAGCCCCGATATCCACCGCGCTTCACAAATCCTCTCACCCACCCCCCAATAAAAAAAAATAAAAAAGAAAGAAAAAAAGACAATCGCACGTCAAGTATCCATACCGCTTATACAAATCACCTCTAGAAAACAAACAAAACCATTCTCAAGATCCACTCTCCAGAGAAAAGAAAAATGATGAGTTCAAATGTTCTTGGGTTCGCCAGGGAGGAAAAAAAAAAAAAAAGAGACAGAGATTTCCTATACAGTTAGTCTCCAGATGATCCCGTAGCGAAAATGATTCTCTCCCAGGGGGTCAGATAGTACATAACGCAACATGAAAGATTCGTCATATCGTAACTACCTCGCAGACGCCTGGTCTCACGAGCACTAATGCCGTCTCTAAGTTATTTGATAGTGCCTATTTTGCGGCAGTATACCGCTTGATAATTAGCGGAGATACCACACCGCAAATAAGAGACCCAGATTCTTGTAGCGCTAACCACCGTAAACCACTTCAAAAGAACAAGTATTACAGCAGGCATTACTTAAAAGAAAAGTTTAAGAAACCGAGTGACTTTCTGTGAGACTAGCCTGGATTTGAAGAAACCACGCCTCCGTTATGACTACTCATTTTATATTTTAGCTGAAAGGAGTAATCGTACAGATACATATCATAGTAAACACAAGCTTTGTCCCAGAAAACATCAAACACAAAGATATCAAGCAGAAAAACATAAAGAGCATGCAGTCCTATACTCCAAGCCCAATGCTAATTGCGGAAGAAGATCATTGCTCAAGACCAAAGGCCCTCGGGGGATTGCTGATGGGGACACGATTTTCATCCCGCTTGGCCGGAGTCGAAGATGCGGAGCTTCCTACTCGAGAACTCTGAGGTGCACGATACCTATCGCAGGGGCTACTATAATACGGGTGTGTAGCAGGCGAGGAACTGTTACTCAAATGGGTCCAACGACTCTCCGGTGTTAAAATTACCGGCATATGATTCCCTCTTCTAGATCCATCCCCACAACGACGTCCACCTCCACTACGATCAAGCTTCCTCCCCCTGGTATCACAACCTGGTGTACTCTGTGGGGTTGGATAAAAGCTTTGGGGTTCATTGCGAGTTTTCCATTCCCTCAATCTAATGTAGTGCTCGAAAAGCCCCGGGGTGATCGCCTAGAATTCGTCAGAACCCATTCACTTAAGAACTCAAAAAAAAAAAAAAAAAAAAAAGTACCATTCCATCCGCAGTATAAGTCAACTCAGGTGTATCCTCTTCATCCTTGATACAGCCCTCCGGAGGCTCTAACCCATATCTCTGATAATCACCAGAGCGCGCAAATAGAATACCTGGGCTTTTGGTCACAACGTCCTCGTTCCAGATAGAATCTGTGTATATGTCGTGAAACAAAGTAGGGTCAAGCATCTCCACATCGCCGACATCAGAGAAATTGAAAACCGGGCCTGGGTCAAGTGAGACGATATCCACCCCCTTGCGAAAGACCCCGACAACCGGTGCTTCAGTAGATTCGACGGCAGTAGGTTCGGTGACTTCGGTGACTTCAACCTCTTTGGTACTCTCGACTTGTTTATCAGAGATCTCTGGTGTAGACACGCTACTCTCACTACCGTCAACACTCTCAACGTCTCTAGTAAAGTCACCGCTGAATCCAGAAAAGGATCGGCTTCCAGGTTTTTCATATTTTTCCTCTTCACCTCCACCCCTTGCAACATGAGTAGTTAAGTCGTTCGACCTAGTAACCTCAAGATTTCCAGTGATTATTTCGATCTTATCTTCGGACTCGACAGTTTCCTCGGTGGCCTTGACGATCGCCTTCTCATCGGCAGTATCCGCCGTAGAATTCTCAGCAGGATCATTCACATCCATAAGATGGTCATCACTGGACTCCTCTTCTTGCTCATCCTTAATCACATGAAGCTTGCAAATAATCCTTTTGACATTCTCAACCTTGTCATCATCCTCCTCCTCGATAGACGTATTCACAAGCGTAGGGCTGAGCGAGTCCCTAACGCCATTGGCATTGAACCCTATACGCATGTCATCCGGACTCTCAATAATGATAGTAGGTGGAGCGATTCCCGAAGATGCAGGAGTTTCCTCCACGCCAATAGGCTCTGGCTTGATGACAGGGCACGCAGGAAGAGCTGGTGGGGGAGGGCCGGTGCCATGCTTTTCGGATTTGATAGACTTCAACCACTCGTTGACGTCGGGATTTTTAACAGAATTGGATGCGTCCCGTTTACCGAAACGGCCGTTACCAAAACACATTTTAACGAAAGTAAAGTGGTTAGATGTTGAAAAAAAAAAAAAGGTTATGGTTTAAAGAAAGAAGGGTGATAAGAAATAGTGTTGTAAAACGAATGACTCTAAAGAATTATAATCTGGTGAAAGCAAGGAAGAAAGTGAGAGTGAGGGGAGCGGGCAAGGGCTATATTTTTATAACTTGGGATATGATAGAAAAAAAGCAATGGCGTAAACCTAAGTGCCGCGTATTATGGTCCACGAAGAACAATAGGCATTCGTCACTATGTACATTAAAACTATTCAGGCACTTTTTCTGGTTCCGTATACCCTCGTTGGATATTGGTGACATGCTCTGGCTCTGGTGTATTCGTTGCCTATTTGCTTTTTAGTAAACAGCCCCCATAAAAAATGAGGAAATTGCTTACCCATATCCGATCAATGCGTAACGCAAAAGGCCCCGGAATTCGATCAATCAATCCAATCCCAACAGTCTTAACCTTCTGCCTCATCATCTCATTCTGAGGCTCAATAACCTGTCCAAAATTTGTCCTTACAAACTCCGAGAAAGGAATCTACGAATCCCATCAGTTCTGGCCCCTAACATACCCCTATGTGGTGAAGAAATTAGCGGGCTCACATGTATAGTCTCCCATTCTCCAACTCTCTTAGCAAACAATCTATGCTGATGAATATCCGTCTCAACGATAGAATCGGTCTGGATATTCACGAAATACTTGCTCCCATCACTCTTAACCCTCAACGCCAGATAATTATAAGGATCACAATCCCAATTCTGTCGTCCAAAGAGCGTCCTCCCTCTCTCCAGCGTTCTCCAAGCGGCGTATCCAGACCTTTGGATTTTTGGTCGTTCAACAGGCAACTCAACGGATATGTTTCCATGGAATTTTCCATAGTACCGGTCCTCCGATGGATGGCCCAGCGGAAATGGGGTGAGGTCCATGTGAACTTTACTAAAACCTCCGGTGTCTGCGTCGGAAAAGACTTTAATGTTTTTGAGAGAGTCCGGATGGCGAAAGGAGTGGATTTCCATGTCAGCAAAGTCCCCAGTTATGCCTTCGCCTTTGAAAACTGTAATTTATCATGTGAGAAATTGCAAATAGTGGGATGGAGAGGAGTTGCAAAGAAATTACCGCTAAAGGTATTGCGTTTCATCTCGTCTATGCTTCGCTGGAGGAAGCCACCCCGAAGAAGACGCAGTGCTGGCCGCATCGTGATTTATTGAACCTATTCAATGTTTGCTTGCTTATGAAGTAACAATCCCGAATGAATAGAAGTTAAGGTTGAGGTTGAGGTTGGGTTGAGGCTCTGTTTTCCGACGTCACTGTTTCGCTTAAAACGATTCTAGTGAGATGGTGTGCATGTGCTTATCACAAAGCACATGATTAACGAGATGCACTATGGTGTTGCTTCTCGCTGCTGGTTACCGCATTAATTACAAGCAAAAACTACGGTACTATTTAACTTAAGCACGCCTATACAATTCAACTTCAGCGATTGGACATTTAGTGGTATCCAAGCCATTTTATTGGTTTTTTGTTTTTTTGTTTTTTTAGCTAATTAGTATACACCTTTTTGTACACCCAGTGATTCTCAGGTCTCCTTCCAAGCGTTACCAGTAAGAAGCTCAAAAGCTTCATGGTATTTCTTGCTCGTTTCACGAACAATTTCTTCAGGCATCTCAATGCCTGGTCTTCCCTTAACCCCATTCTTAGTCAACCAGTCCCTAAGGAATTGTTTGTCGTAGGAGTCCTGGCTTCTTCCAACCTCGTAGGAGGAGGCGAGCCAAAAACGAGAGGAATCTACTCCACAGTTAGTGCATGAATAATTAATCGTGCTAGATCTAGAGAAACAAACCTGGGGTGAGAACTTCGTCCACAAGAACAACATTCTTGTTCTCATCAAGACCAAACTCAAACTTCGTATCGGCGATGATAATGCCTCTCTCGGCAGCGTAGTCACGAGCTTTGGTATACAAAGCAAGAGAAAGTTCCTCAATCTTCTTTGCGTACTCATTCCCAACTAGTTGAGCGACCTTATCAGGATGTATATTCTCGTCTACCAATAGCGTCAAGTCAGTAATCATTGGGTCTGAGTTTGTTTTAAATTCAAGGCGTAAGATAGAAGGTAATTACCATGTTGACCCTGTGCGGCTTTAGTGCTTGGGGTGAACAATGGCTTCTCAAAAGCTTGACTCTCCACCATGCCTTCGAGAATCCGAATTCCATGAACAGTCCCAGATTTCTGGTACTCAACCCAGGAGCTACCAGTAAGGTATCCTCTAACAATAGCTTCAACGGGAAAGACCTTGAGCTTCTTAACGACCATGGAACGATCCTTAAGTTGCGCAGAGTACTTCTGAAGTTTCTTGGGAAGAGACTCTAGGCTGGAAGAAACAAAGTGGTTCGGGCCGACGTCCTTGAGAACAGTAGTGAACCAGAAT